AAAGTGCTCAAGGAGATGCCCCTATCTGAGGCAACAAACAGAGGGGGGCCCCCCACATAACAGATCTGCTCATGATATATCCTGAAAGGGTTTCCCCCCTTCTAATTAGGTCTCATCTCTCCAGCCTGCCCTTGAGCTTTATCCAACCCTGAGACTTGGTGCAGAACCAGAGTGGGTTTTTTAAATATCCATGGGATCATTCACCTCCTGATGAATTTTGCTACAATTCAGTATGGCTAATTAAGTTTGGGGAAACCGCTCATCTAGAGATGGACCAGCTCTGCCAAGACCTTTACTGAGAGCCTTGAGAAAAAGCCTCGAGAAATACTCTATGAAGTCAAAAAACCCTCCCCCCCGAAGACAGTTTCAGAAGGCAGATCACGAGAAGGGAGGGCAGGGAGAAGGGCATCAGTGCTTAGTTCTCAGGGCCCTTTCTGACACACCCAGGGAGATGCCGATGGTCACTTTGGGGTCAGGAAGCTATTTTCTCCAGGCCAGTCTGGCCAGGGATCCTGGAGGGTTTTTGCCATCTTCTGGGCAGAGCAGGGGTCATTGGGGGGAAGGTAGTCCTGCATTGTGCAGGGGGTTGGACTAGGTGAGCCTGGAGGTCTCTTCCAACTCTATGATTCTAAGGTAGCCATGTTCATCTGCAGTAGAACTGGATTTGAGTCCAGTAGCACCTTAGAGACTAACGTGATTTTGGGGGTATGAGCTTTGGAGAGCCAAAGATCTGACACAGGGAGCTCTGACTCTTGAAAGCTTAGACTCTGAAAATATTATTGGTTTCTAAGAAGAGACTGGATTTATACCCCGCCCTTCACTACCCGAAGGCGTTTCAGAGCGGCTTACAATCTCCTTTCACTTCCCCTCTCCACAACAGACACCCTGCGAGGAAGGTGGGGCTGAGGGAGCTCTTTTGAAGACTGCCCTTGAGAGAACAGCTCTGAGAGAACTTGTAACTGGCCAGCAGCTGCATGTGGAGGAGTGGGGAATCAAACCCAGTTATCCCAGATTAGAGTCCATGCTCCTACCCACTACACCAAGCTGGCTACTGGAGGTGCTACTGGACTCAAATCGAGTTGTTCTGTCTCCCAACATGCATCCCTTTACTCCCTTACATCAGCTGCTCTGAGCAATAAGAAAAAGCAGTACAGAAATATCGTGACTAAAAATGTCACACCCACAGAGGGTAAGCTGGCTACCTCTTTCAGAAGGCCAAGACCCATAAAGAATGTTCAGTATCCAGCATGAACTAGTTAGATCAGTATACTGGAAGCTCTCTAGAGGTCACAGGGGCATTAGCTGTTCTCAACTCAACATCCAATAGGCAGAGGCAAACTTTGCAACCCTTGGGGTGGGAAGAAGAGATCAGCCTTGGGAAGGACTATGCAAGAATTTGTATCTGGGGAGCTACAGACCTCCAAGAGCCAGGGGCCAGAACCTCACCGAGTCCTCCTTGTAGTCTGAAAACAATTCGACCTCCACGGTTTGCTTCTGTTCTGAAAAACCCGACAAGAAGAGGCCGGCAAAAGTCATGGTGTCCATGACCTGCAGTAGGTCTGAACGATAGTGCAGCATAGCCTAGACAAGGAAATAAATACATTTTGTATGCTCTCTCTGATATTTTGCCCTAAATTTTACCACTTTGAGGACTTTTTAAAATCAGGTGTGGTTAATTTAAAAAAAAAAAAGTACAACCAATAGGTCACACAATCTACTTTCTAAAATGAGAAACATTTTGAGTTAGCTGGCTTGAATAAGAGCTAGGATAGCTGGCAGCAGCCCCACTTTGTGTGATGCATCTTTAGAGGCAAGGTGGGTCGCCACCAGAAAACAGGGCCTTTTTGACAGTGGCTCCTCAGCTTGGGAATTCTATCCCACACTTGTTTGCTCGGCACACCTGTAGAGTGATAAGGACCAGGCGAAAGCTACTCCTTGTTCCCTCCAGACTTTTGGTGGAATGTTTCTTTCGCTGATTCTCTTTGCAAATTTGTATAGGTTTTTATACTGACTGTACTACTGGTTTTACTGCAAGATTTGTTAAGATAATTTGTGTGATATTACACTATTGAATATTTCAGTGTTTCTGGTGTTATAACATTTATCTTACAAATGTGCTGCTTAGCCTTATTAAGAATTTGTTCAAGTTACTATTTCTTTAGGAAATACAGACTGATATATAGGGGCAGGTTTGACGAAGTAGCAAAAGCTGAAGATACATATGCTAAGATAGCAGAGCCTACAACACTTTGTAGCGGTCTCCTTTGACTATTGGTTGCAGAGGATAACAGCATTTATACTTGTAATTTTTAAAAATATGTCAGATAGTACCATTATATGCTTAACCCATTAGGTAATAATGCATATTGTATGTTTTAAAGCAATAAAATAAGTTTAGGCTTGATCAGAGAACAAGTATTCACGTTATCTTAAGTACTGCATGTTATCTTAATCTCTTCCTACAAAAAAAACACCGAAAACGAAGAGAGACTTTTCCTACCATGGCTTCAAAATTTCCAGAAAGTTTACATTTCTATCTTTAACTCAGGGGTGTCAAACATGTGGCCTGGGGGCCAAATCAGGCCCCCGGAGGGCTTCTATCAAGCCCTCAAGGGACTGTCTGTCTCCTGCTTCTTCATCCAGTTCTGCTGCTGCTGTTGCATCATAGCTTGCTTTCCTAGACTCTCTCAGTCACTCAGGAGAGATAGCTAGGCAAGCTTCTGCTCCCTGCACTGGGCTGAGGCTCCTCCCTCTCCCAGACTGCTACAGCACAGACATTTTGATGCAATAATTCAGAGCAAGAGGTTTCAGTTATCAGACACTTAAATAAACAAAATACTGCAAGAGTGATAATGTTTTAAGCATGTTTTTATTTTAAGTAAAAAAAAAACCCTTTGTATTTGTGTCCTTTATAAAGTTTATATCTCTACTCCCTGGCATTACATTTTATGACACACATGGCCTGGCCCATCAAGGTCTCATTTATGTCAGATCCGGCCCTCATAACAAATGAGTTCGACACCCCTGCTTTAACTGACATTCAAACTCCAATGCTTCCTGGAACATACTCAATTCTTAGACAGTGGGTGTCTTTTGGTTTATTATAGAATGTCATGTTTTTCTCTATATACGGCACTGTCGGACATTAAGATGCAAGATGAAGTAGTCAAGGCCCCAATGATACTCTGGGCTCAAAACTTTGGTTATAATATTGATTTAGATAAATGGTCCAGAATTTGGAAAAATAATATAAAATTTACTAAAGCTGTCTCATTAAAAGAAAACCTCTGTAAGATGTTTTATAGGTGGTATACAACACCTGATAGATTGGCTAAATACTATAATAAGATGTCAAACACCTGCTGGAAATGTAAAGTAAAAGTTGGTACACTGTATCACATGTGGTGGACATTTGAAAAGAGTAAAAAATTCTGGGTGGGGGTGCATGAAATGTTGCAACAAGTGTTAGGAATTAATATACCCTTTAAACCTGAGCTTTTGTTTGTTAACTGTAATTCTGGAACAATATAAGAAAACAGAATGTTATTTGATTTCGCATATAATTACAGTGGCAAGAGTTGTCTTTGCATACCTCTGGAAGAAAGAAGACACACCATCCAAAGAAGAACTAATCTACAAAATAATGGAGGTTGCAGAAATGGACAATCTAACTATATTACTGCAAGGAAGAGATGAGAATATTTTCAGAGATGTCTGGTCAAGATTTTATAACTGGATAGAGAATTGAAAATTGTAAAAATTTAAACAGAAATAGATACAAAACTTAATGTTAAAAGCGAATTAAGAAGGGTTGGAACCACATATATGTTTGTCAAATGTATTTTGTCTGTGTCTTTTTTTGTGTTTTATGTTCTGTCAGTTAATAATGTCTGAAATAAAAAATAATCAAATCATTAAAAAAAAAAGAATGCCATGTTTTTCTGTACAACTGGGACACTGCCCGCCTACGCAGAAGTCCCTACCACTTTCTGGGGATGACCTGCCTTTCTTGCTTTTCTTGCTTTTGCAGCTAACACAAGCCACACTTTTATTATATAAGTGGCAAGAAGAAAATACAAAATATCCTTTCTAACATAACTCAAGAACTCAGGGGGGAAAAAAGACTTAAAACATTAGAAAAACTGGAGAATTACAGTGAGAGGCTCTGCTTTTTCCAAACAGTCAATTAAAGGATACCACATTCTGGCAGGAAAAAACAGGGATATTTTGCTTCCTGTCTCACTAATTTAAAGCTTACATGTCTGTGCCATGTACCAAAGCTTCCTTACAGTTAGAAAATATTGCTTTTGGCGCATCCTGGCCTTTGGCACCTTGTTACATAGGAAACTGTTGAGGACAGTAATGCTGGTGACTTAAAGAGAACCCATATTGGCAGGGTGCAAAAGCGTAACAGGTAACTATGAGCATGAGTTTGCGGGAACCACAAGCGCACGTGCTGCCTCCTTCCCCAGCTTCTAAGTGTGCAGACAGATATGGAAGGATTTCCACAGAACACTATAGATTGGTGTTTTTATCCGAAGCAGGAAATGGTGCAATTTTGGGTTTGCCTGGGAAGCACAAACCAAACTGTGCCCTGGATCCCACAAACCATTGGCAGAAAGCTCTGACTTGTCCAGAATCTTCTGTGCCCTCTACTCCAGACCCAGGGCTCTTTTTGTAGAAAAAGCCCAGCAGGAACTCATTAACATAATAGGCCACACCCAACAGCAGAAACTCATTAGCATATTGGGCCACCCCCCTGACAGCACAGCTCATTAGCACATTAGGCCACACCCACATGTTACCAGAAGTGTGGTCATCCAGCCACGCCCACCTTTTGCTTCTTATTCTGTTGACCTTGTTTGTGGTCAAAACCCAGGGCCTTTTTTTGTAGCAGGAACTCCTTTGCATGTTAGGCCACATACCCCTAATGTAGCCAGTCCTAATGAGTTTCTGCTGTTGGGTGTGGCCTATTATGCTAATGAGTTCCTGCTGGGTGTGGCCAACTCGGGAGCCAGCCGGAATTCCGTTCCTGTGCGTTCCTGCCCAGAAATAGCCCTGTCCAGACCTATTGCTGATCCCAGGAAAGTTTATTCCCAAGGCTGAGGGCCTTGCATATACTAATAGCAGCACCAGATCAGGTGGCTGTACCGGGGAGGATGAAGGGGATGATATTATCCTTTTTTAACCTCTTGTGTGGGTGGAGCGCCATTCACAGAACAACAAGGGAAAAAGGAATTTCACCCCCTTCTCCCTGTCCAGTACAGCCAGCCGACTGATGCAGCATTTAGTACGCTTAAATCCCTGGACCCCGGGAATAAGCTTTCCCGAGATTGGAAACAGCTCCAGGAAGGACTGGAGGGTGGAGAAAATCCTGCAGTCCTTGCACTCACAGGATCCAGCCCAATGATTTAAAAAACATAACCTCCAGTCCCCTGCTCCAGGCGAACAGCAAACTCTCGCTCTAAAAGGGAAAAGAATATAGGCCTCATACCTAGCACAACACGGGGAGACTCAGCTGTGCTACCACCTACCCTGAGAACAACTCACCAACAGCTTAGAGAGAGCAAGACTTTTTCCAAGATCACTGAAGATGCCAGGAACTGAATTTTGGACCTTCTGCATAGAAATCCTGTGCTCTCTCTCTCTATATAGAACTCCTGTGCTCTCCAATAACTCAGTAACAACATACAGGACCTAAGTAGGTTCAGTTTATTGATCAGAGTAGAGGACACTCCATGAACTTCTGTGTTAGGAATAACATTAGATGCGCGGGCTAAACAGTTATACCCCATTCGTATAAGACCCCCTGATGAGCAGAGGCCAATGAGCAAACACCTGCAAGCACGGGGAAAAGCTAACGGACCCAGTGAAGGTGGGAGACTGGCAAAGGAGGCAAGACAGAGAATCCAGGCGCTCAAGGCCACGGGGAGATAACAAGGCAACAGAGGGAAGACAGCTGCGGGGAAAAGCGGGGTGGCAAAGCGCAAGCGCACAGCCCACACATTCTAGCACCAAAGACATCCCATGGCGGTGTCAACCGACACTATTTATTTAATTAGATTTTTACCCCGTCCTCCCAGCAAAGCCGGCTTAGGGCGGCTTACAACAACATAAAAGAATTCATTAAACACAAAAACTGATAAAACCCCAACATGAGTTTAAAACCATAAACATACAACATAATAAAGTGCTAGCATTAGTTCTCAACGCTCGGTCAGTTTCTTGATCTACTACAAATGTCCCAGGCACTCAGGTCTGCTACAGATGTTAGAAGCATTCCGGTCAGGTTATGCTTAAAGTAAAGGTAAAGGTTCCCTTGCTCGAAAGCGAGTCGAGTCCGACTCTAGGGTTGCGGTGCTCATCTCCGTTTCAAAGCCGAAGAGCCAGCGCTGTCCGAAGATGTTTCCATGGTCATGTGGCCGGCATGACTAAACACCAAGGCGCACGGAACGCTTAGGGGACCCAGAAAGTCGGACTTGCACCCCGAGGACTATCAGATGTCAGTGGTGGTGATGGTAACGGTGGTGGTCCAAAGGCCTGGCAGAAGAACTCCGTTTTACAGGCCCTGCGGAATTGTA